CGTGGGTGATACACTTTACCATTTTCTGTTAGAAAATCTAACGGAAATAGACATAATGGATCAATTGGTATAATTAGAGAGTTTAAGGACTCAATTAATACAAATATCATAATTTAATAGTCATATGTATAGTTTACTCAAATTATTTTATATTATGCAGTAAACAAAGTGTCACACCCGTCCCAAGAGACCTATTTGGCTTCCCTAAGAAAATTTGTATATGATAACTTTTGTATTTATATGCAACCATGCAAAATTATACAATAGTACAACTAACCACTTATTAAATAAAAATTAACGAAATATCTGACTGAGTACACAACGGAGTAGCGCTAGGGTTTTTACCCTTTACAATAAGAAGGAAACACACACTATTGTACCACATGTACGTGATTAGTTTCCTTAACCTCTCTTCTCTATTGTGCTAATGTTGTAGTGAATTCAACTCTAAATTTCAGTTTTTTGAAATTAAATATTTTTTCAGTGTATAGCGCATCATAATAAATGAAAATATAAAAAATATATATATATTCAATATCATTTCACCAAGATATGTTCACAACNAATTAGGAACTTAATTGACACAAGAGTAATAGTTTGAGAATCATATGTTTAGTTTATTCTAACCATTTGTGTAGCGTGGGTGATACACTTTACCATTTTCTGTTAGAAAATCTAACGGAAATAGACATAATGGATCAATTGGTATAATTAAAGAGTTTAAGGACTCAATTAATACAAATATCATAATTTAATAGTCATATGTATAGTTTACTCAAATTATTTTATATTATGCAGTAAACAAAGTGTCACACCCGTCCCAAGAGACCTATTTGGCTTCCCTAAGAAAATTTGTATATGATAACTTTTGTATTTATATGCAACCATGCAAAATTATACAATAGTACAACTAACCACTTATTAAATAAAAATTAACGAAATATCTGACTGAGTACACAACGGAGTAGCGCTAGGGTTTTTACCCTTTACAATAAGAAGGAAACACACACTATTGTACCACATGTACGTGATTAGTTTCCTTAACCTCTCTTCTCTATTGTGCTAATGTTGTAGTGAATTCAACTCTAAATTTCAGTTTTTTGAAATTAAATATTTTTTCAGTGTATAGCGCATCATAATAAATGAAAATATAAAAAATATATATATATTCAATATCATTTCACCAAGATATGTTCACAACTTGATAAAAATGACAAAATCAAAAGTGTTTCAACGCACTTTGTAATCTCAAATCGCTACCAAGTTTCAACATAAATAAATAGTCTACATGTGCTATGAGTCAATAATAATATTTAAGCAATGTATAGCAATCAACAATATTTAACTAATGTCAAACTATCTATAATATTTAAACAATGTCAAGTTGTCTTATGATAACTGTACAGTGTCTAAATCAACAACATTCAAGTTATATCAAGCTATCAAACAACTCTGACATAGTTGATACTATTTAAATCACAAAATTTTCAACAAAGTATATTTGATCCATTATTTACTCAACTCATCGCAAATCAAATTATCGAAACTTCGTTTCATATGGTGAAAGTAATTCATATGTCATATATTTTTATTTTTAATTATTATAAAATAGTACACTTCACCGATCACATTCAATCAAACATACAACTATGATAAATGCTTGATCCCCACGTGAAATTGGTACATTTTCTTCTAGACCTAATACATGGAAAATGATCATGGTACACATGAGTATAAACTCTTGACAACTCAATGGATCTAAATGAATGCATATGAGCTTGTTTAACTTAATTTCGTTTTCTCTCCGACTCGACTCAACTTTTCAAATCAATTCTAACCCAATTTCACAAATTAATTTAAAATCAACTTCTATCCTTAATAAATCAATATAAAATATATTTTATACAAAATTAGATTTCCCTATACTTCGTAAAACATTTGTTGATTATTTTTTGACAGGATATTAAATATGCTCCAATAAATGTCAATCTTCTTTTTTTTTTAGCTATTTTGTAACAAAAAATTGTATTTTTACAAATATGTGCGCGCTGATTTTTGCACAACAGTAGAAGTAGGAACAGATCTCTCCCACGATGAACTGTAGTTCGACAAGACAGTAGTTCCGGCAGAACGGAAGGTTTGTTTTCAGAATTTCTGGTCGCCTCCGGCAGAGTTTCAACCCATTCAAAAATGAATTTTGGCAACAAAAAGTAGGTTGAGAGGGACAAAGGAGTCCTAAGGACTGGTGATGAATTGTTTGTTAGGTCGCCTGACCGGTCCTGGAAGACCGTAGGGGGATCCTGTGACACAAAAAAATAGGTTAGAAGAGTGTCGGAGCGCTATCCGGCGTATCCCTTCCAACGATCAAGTCAGTTCTTTGAGATAGGGGAAGAAAAAAAATATTGTGATTTTTTTTAAGAGTTCTCGAGTACCTTTGCAATATGTTTTTGAGGACTATTTATACCTTCAAAAGCTCATTATTGCTGATAATATAGCTAATAGACAATCATTAGAGATGGGGCAGTGTGCCCCCTTTCCTTTAGTGGGGAATGCATCCAACCTAAACTGCTCGGGACGCCAAGCGATTGATGCTTTCCCCTCGATCTGCCGAGTATTCAATACCCTTCCCTCGACGAGAGAGTATTAAATGCCCAGACATGAGAGCATTTAATGCCTTTAACTTCTTGGCCTCCATGCCTTAAATGTTGTCTTATCAGGAAGGGGGATTCATTAAATACATACTTGCTCTAGTCATGTGTTAGATGGGATACCCAGGTCGTTTTTGCTACTGATTTGATATCAAATTCCACGCGTCCACTCCTCTTTGGTTGCGTGTTCTGCATCCCTACTCCTCTTGACACCATTGAGCAGAGCATCTTCATGATGATTGGCCTAACCAGTCCTAGGCTAACCATCGGTCAATCATTATCTTTCGTAGAAGCATAAGAGACGTTGGATTCAGCCTACAGAAGGAACATCTTGATACCAAGGAACATTTGTTTGTCTTAGGGTCAAGAGTTTTTGCCGAGCCGAGGACATGTGTATTGACCATTTCGATGGGGGGGATCCCTTGGCTCTGAGCACTATAGCCTCGGCTGATAGGGATGAGTGTCGCCAAGGAAATGTGGTCATTCTTAGTTGAAAACATAACGATACCAAGAATACGTGTTGCCAATCTATCCTTTTTCAAAAATGTCCCATCAAAATATAATATGATATCCTACCATATATTGTTCCAAAGCTCGCTGAGTTTACTTTCCAACAAAATTGACGGTACATCAATCCAAGTTTTTTTATAAAATGTTATGCCCGTTTTATTATAGGGTGTCAAAGTTATTTAATACATCTCATACCCGAAATTTTTAATATATTTTTCTTTGATCCGAACAAATCCAATTCATTTTATATCACAACCATATCATTATATTATCAATGAACATCCATAAATCAATATCTAAGTTATTTAATAGCATATCTAACAAATAATCGACTAAAACTAAAAAATAATTTGTTCAATGCTACATGCTACATGCAACTTTCATACTTTAATTTATCACCTCTAATAGTTATACTTGTACATATAGATCTGAACTCGTAGACCTTGATTCAGAAATTCAAATTCGTTGTAACTTCATTGAGGAAATATTATATTTTCAATTGAATTTTAACCTCTGAACCAATCTATAGCACTTTTTCTATCCAAAGAATTATCAACTGGAAAAAAATAAAATATAAACAAAACAACTTTATTTGAAGAAATTAAATCAATTGATATGAAATTTAATCTATCATAAACAATAACGTACTCAAATTTAGTAAGAATTAGAGTTACACTTTCACCCCCTTATTTCAATAAATTCAACTAAAATCCACAACTTTTATTCAATAGCTTCTATTTCTCTATACTATTTTTTAAAAAAAATATTAATCAGGATCTCACACAAATTGTGCTGGATTTTACAAATTCGAATGTTGAACAATATTGTAGAGATTTAATTTAAAGATCTAANTTTTAAAAATATTAATCAGGATCTCACACAAATTGTGCTGGATTTTACAAATTCGAATGTTGAACAATATTATAGAGATTTAATTTAAAGATCTAATTACGGACTAAATTTATTATAATAATTGAAGTAATTATAAATTTTGATATTGGATAAAGACACTTTGTGGGGCTTCACTAAAAAGCAATGGGACCGTACCTCACTGAATCATCTCAACTCTTCCGGAACCCACGTTCCAAAGTTGAGCGTACGCGGAGTCAACGTCGATTATCTCTGATTCTCTATATTATGCTGATTCTCTCACATTATTGCACATTCTCGTCAAATTTCGCCTCACATTCAGATTTCGTACCAAACCCATTCTCTCTCTCTCTCTCTCTCTCTCTCTCTCAATTATCCATTTGTGTCTCTTTCTTTGTCTCTCAATTATCCATTTGGTGTCTCTGCGGGAGCTAATCCAAACGCTAAATTTAACCGACAAACATATAAAGAAAAACCAGAGAAATCCGACGATTCTCCGTAGTCAAATCGTCATATTCCGATCGCAAATCTTTCAATTTTTCAGCCCCTTAAATGGGCTCTATCGGTTTCAAAACGTTTTGTTATCAACCGCATCGCCGAGGTTTCGTTTTCTCCGTAGCTGGTGTTGAAGTTAACGAAGCGTGATCTGGGTGTTCAAGTTTCTTTTTGGGTTGTCGGGATTACCAAATCTTTTTTTTTTTTCCTTTCAAATTCGGGAAGATGAATGTTGCGAAGTCTCAGGTTTGGCAGCCTTGTAAGAAGAAGAGATCTTGAAATTTCAGTTTATACATATCGACGGAGAAGTTGATACAGAAGCAATGGATGGTTTTTGCGTAATCAGATCTTCAATTCATTAGGGGAGGGAGAGAGAAAGGGATATACACAATGGATGGTATCTGTATTGAGGTTTGAATTGATATAAAGACATAAAAAAAGGTATAAACACAGAGGAGGGGAGAGAGAGGGGGAGGGATGGCGTCGACATCAAGTGGTGGGAGTGCGAGGACGAGAGTGGGAAGGTACGAGCTGGGGAGGACTTTAGGGGAAGGGACGTTTGCGAAAGTGAAGTTTGCGAGGAATATAGAGACTGGTGAGAATGTTGCCATCAAGATTCTTGACAAAGACAAGGTTCTCAAGCACAAAATGATCGGTCAGGTATATTCGAAACTTTCCCAACTCTCTTCCGCCCCCCTCTCTCTCAGAATCTATTTGGGTGCTTGGGAAAGTGGTGAATGAAGAATTTTGATCAGCACACACACACACACACACACACACACACACACACACACACATATATATATATATATATTTGTGTGGATGTGGTTGTGAAATTGCAATTTTTTTTTGGGGGGGTGGGGGGATTGTTTATATTTTGGTTACTGTCTGTATGGAATCTTTGGATGCCAAGATATGTAATGAAGACGACAGGAAAATGAAATTTGAAGCTATACAGGCAATTTGTAAAGAGGACAACTGAGCTGAAGTGTCTGGGGTTGTATTGTATGGGATGGAGATGAGGATTTGAGTCCAGATTTATACTATTTCTACAGTTTTATTCAGTAAAAGGCAAAGAATAGTTGGCTGAAGTTATGTTTTAAGGGACTGGAAGGCAAAAGTTATTTGGTGGCTCATGCATATTGTTGTTGTTTAATCAACTAAATAAGTGTATTAGGCCAAGGATGGGAGAATGCTTGATCTAATCAACTTAATTAAAGGATCTGTTGTTGCTGGTACAAATAACTCGGTTTTATTCATTCCCTGTGCGATTCTATTAATTTGTTGGCCGTTTTAATAAACTTTCTGGATTGCCTGGTCAATAAAGGAATAAGAAATTATGAATGTTCTGACTGCTCAGCCGGTTTCTTCCTCTTTTGGTTTCTCTGTTGCTCTATATTGACTATACCCTAATGATGAGACTGTACTGCTTGAAGAGTTATATTTAATTTGGATGTAAACATAAATTTGTTATTGGTTTTTTGCCCATAATGTTTGCGTTAACACTTTAATCCTGTATTGACTTTGCAGATTAAACGTGAAATCTCAACCATGAAATTAATCAGACACCCAAATGTCATCCGTATGTTTGAGGTTAGAATGTGGTTCATTTATTCTTTGTTCTCTCTCCCTAAATTTTTGGCACAGGTTGTTAGTTGGTTTGTCTCACTTACGTGTTCGTTTTCTAGGGGGTGTATTCTATCCTTAGTCTCTTACCTTTTACATCCAGATTATTCTCATGCGATTATTTCTATAACTATGTGTCTAATAATTTTTCTATTTTTTTATTATCTTTCTTTGATTCCCCCCCACCCCCCGCGGCCAAAAAAAAAAAAATCATCATGCTATTTACACCAGTGGACTTGTAATTCAATATGATTTGAGATTGTTCGCTCTGTGCTCTTTGCCAGAGCATACCAATTAGCATGTTTCTGTTTCTTGATCATTCTGTACTTCTTCTTCAATGACGCAAGGTCCTTTGGTGTAGGTTATGGCCAGCAAGACAAAGATATACATTGTTTTGGAATTTGTTACTGGTGGTGAACTTTTTGACAAAATTGTAAGAAATTAATTGCTTCACATATGCAATCTTGTTTTATGCAATAGTAAACAAGGGATTTTGTGCTATTCTATTTGATCTAGGCTACAAAAGGGAGGCTGAAAGAAGATGAAGCCAGAAAGTATTTTCAGCATCTCATTAACGCAGTGGATTACTGCCATAGCAGAGGCGTATTCCACAGAGACCTCAAAGTGAGAAGTTTCTGTTTAGTTTCTTTTGAAATCTTGCAACGGTGATTCAAAAGTATTAAATATGCAGAACTGATATATAATACAAATCAATACTTTTATATGCTTTGTAATTATAGCCGGAGAATCTCCTACTGGATGCCAATGGAATTCTTAAAGTTTCGGATTTTGGATTGAGCGCACTACCTCAGCAAGTGCGAGTGAGTATGATGATCACCTGTCTCGTGTGAAAGGGATTTGATAGTAAATATGTTCCACATTCCACACTATAAATTTTTGCAAACTTAATGAGCACCACACCATTCTTTTTGGTCTTTGTAACACAGTAGTGCTTCATTAGCACATTTTTTATTAACATTTGATGCGATTTGTTTTCCAAGATAGTCAAATAAGTTAATGAAACCTTTTTGTGTAGGAAGACGGATTACTACACACAACGTGTGGTACACCAAANGACAGTTCAAAAACACTTATGATTTATTCTACACAGAAATAAAGAAAAGCAAAACACTACTGTATACAGAAGAAGACGGAAGAAGGAAAAGACTAGTTATTTATTTCCAAAAAATAGGGGCTTTGCGTCCCCAAAGGCTACAAAAGGAAAGCAGAAGGGGTACAATCAAAAAGGGGAAAAAGAGAGAAGCAGCTTCATCGGGCTCCAGGCACCTCCAGAACTTCAGCCGAGGGCGAGTCAGCGATAAATGCTTGGGAAGCTTCCAGAGCAGGCAAGAGGAGAACTTCGGCAGCAGGGACAGCTTGAACGACTTGAGCAGCATGAGGTTCAGGAGCATGGTCCGACGGAGCGTCCTCGGACAAGTCCACTATCACCGTCTCAGGAGCATCAGTCGAGATCTGCATCGGCGTAGGGGCTTCATCCTCGGCAGCAACCTGTGCTTCTGCCTGTGCCATCTCTGCCGAGGGCACATACTTGTGCACTTGGAAGAGAGGGGAGTCTGATGGGACTCCGGCAGCCTGGAGTGCCTCGTCCCATCCTTTCTTGAAGAATTCTTTGCTGTTTTCCTCAAGAGCGGGGAGCACGTCATCGGCAAACTCCTCCAGGAGTTGTTCCTC